AGGTACATGTATGAAGGATAAAGGTCTTCTACCTTCTGAAATATAAAGCATAATAGAAATAGGTTACAATGCCGCCGCCGGATACTAATCTCTATGTCTCGCATAATGCGACTTTCATTGCAGGCGTTTAACACCCTGGATTTATGAGATTTGAACATCAGTTATCTACTATTGCCCCTTATTTATTATTTTTGTAAAGGAATCTCACAATATACAGTAACCTAAACCAAAATCAACTTTCCACCCGAGACCAAATGACGTGAAGTTAGCAACCTTATTTGGGCTTTATATGATAGATCTACAGTTACTGTAAGCGTCTTTGTAAAAAAGTTTTACTACTAAAAGCACTGTTATTAAATTATACGCCTTTTACACTGTTTTTATCTCGCTGTATTTATTGCGTTTCCATACATCCTGTTACCAATTGTAGACAGAAAACATACATTGGTTGACTTTACTCAGTAAACTAAAGTAGGTAGAACTCGAAGGGTTCACACAGTTACCACAATTTACTTGCATTGCTACAGTAACATCTATTCTTTGCTGGTATGAGTTATAGAAATAAAATTATTGTTTAAGTTCATACATTTTATAATTGTACTGCATCTAACACTGTCAATCCGTTACGCGAGGTAAGCTCACATATTGTTTTCTGTTCTGTTTCTGTCCTTTTTAGTTTTTAGTCTCCTGCTTCCAAAATATTTCGCCTGGTCGTTCCGGATGAAAATAATTCCAGAAAACCGCTTAATCTAATTGCCAATGGTTTATGTTTGATCGAACTGAAACTAATCGAAGGCAAGTTAAAACTAATTAGTATATATCAGCTGTATTAGTAGCAGTCAGTAGTCTTATTATTTTATAGTGTACTTTCTCGTTTTTTATATAGATTAGATCGTTGGTTTTCCCGTTTGAATGGTTTAACACTGGTAATTTTTGGGGCCCTTTATAGCTTGCTGTTCGGTGTGAGCCAAGGCTCCGTGTTGAAGACCGTACTTTGACCTATAATGGTTTACTTTTATAAATTTTGACTTGGATGGAGAGTTGTCTCATTGGCATTCATACAACATCTTCTTATATCTATTAAGGAAACATTTAAAACTTCCCAAAAGACATGTCTCTTATGGCTATTTACATTTTGTTGCTTGTCTCCCTCTGCTGAAATTTGAAGACCAAAAACCTGACCCTTTGTATGTCTAGTAGGGTTAAGTGTAAACATAATATAATATCTAATTTAAAACAAATATTTATTCTTTCGACTTTTCAACTACATATATCAATATAATCAATATAATCAAACATGTACAATGTTTATAAAAAAACGATTCGTAATAATAACATGCATTGTTTACAATATGAAAAGCCATAACACTGTTAATCAGTCTTATTAAACAAAATAAAAAAATTGCCAATAACTGTAATAATTAAAAAGAAATGGTGTTCTCATCATTAACAAGCATAAAGGTGCATAGTACAACAACGATTTTATATATTCGCTTAATTATACTTCATTACATATATTAAGAACAAACAGTTTGAAGTAGCTATTTCACGGCCTGCAAAAAGCATTCCTTAACAAAATTGACTGTACCAACTTTACTGCACCAGATGTTTTCAATATATGAACATTTAGAAATCTGCTACAATAAAAAATATTGATTTTTTTTCTCTTTGGTACCTTTTGGTATTATCTGCTCTTCAAAAAGAGACTGAAGATATCAAGGTGGCATCCAAATACACCTTATCGCTATTTGTCCGCCATTACTGGACATCATAAAGGTTCTCGAAAATTTTTGACGTCACAATAGAAAATGTCTCAAGTGATTGTTGTATGACGTCAATAGTTCAAGTGTAACAAATTCTTGGGTCCAGTGTCGCAGATTCCCAAATAGCGATAAGGTCTATTAAAAAAATGGAGTTAAACCGCCAACGCCATGCTAAAAAAGAAAAACGGCGAAATGACAAAGAAGTCACAGAGCAATGTATTGAAAACTTAAGACAAAGCAAACTCCATCAAAACTGGGGCTTATCTTAGATGATCTGGAGGTGTAAGTAGATCCTACTCCACCATTGGTAACCGTCATGTCACAGAAAGTACAAATGTTGTGATGAGTATCATTAGGTGACGTTGATATCGAAGAAAACAGTACGCAGCATGTGCTTACGACAATCGGATACAATAATTGGGACTTATAGGAACCCTTATTTCAATAGCTTCCATGTAAGTAGCATCCTCTATAAAAACATGATAAGAAATGCAAGCTCTGAATTATTTGATTAACTTGGGGATATGTAATCCATATGCAGGCGTTACAAGAACGTCTTTAACTTTAAGTTAACTTTCGGATTTTCATTTTTGTTTGCCGCGAGCATCAGCGAAGAGACCCTAATTGTTTAATTGAGCATCTGGTGCATGAAAATCGGTACCGGTAAAGTTATGTCTTTACATCACAATATTTTATGAACACTCAGAAGAATGAATAGTTTTCTCATCGACAATCATATCACATCTCTCAGATTTTTATGGAAACAGATACAGTCTGCGGGGAATTCTGAAGAGGATCGTCAAGGCCACGATCCTGTAAAGTTTGTTATGAAAAAAAGATGAAGTAAATTTAAAAAGTTGTAGCATCAATCAACTTATATTAAATTTTTTTGCAATGTTTGTAAGTTTTCAATTAGCAGCAAATTTTGTTTTTCTAACCATTTTCTTTCCAGATCAAGTTTACAAGATTCTGTTTTCAGAAATTTTATGTATTCCGTTGACATTTTCAAAATATGTATTTTTGCTATTTTTTTCATCTGGTGATCAACAGTAGAATTTCCATTAACACAACATATCAACTCATAGAAGAGCTTGGCCAATACTTGTCTATCTTCACGGGTTTTGATATTATGAAGTGTCATTTGGATTGGTTTTCGCTCCCACTTTCCATTATTTCTTGTTCTCTTTGGTTCGCTTTTCTTTTCCTTTCCCTTGCTTCTTTTTCTCTTTGGTACGCATTTCTTTTCCTTTTCTTTGTTCATTTTTTGCACATTCAATTCGGTATCTTTTATTTGCATTTGTTTAAATAGTTTATTGCCGGCCCAACCTTGGTAAAACGATTTAAAAGAACCAAGTCTAGGGTAATGCGGTGCCTGATCATCTTCAACTTGTAAATCATGAACGTTTTTCAGTGACACATCACAGACTTGTTGAACATCAGATGTAGAGGGTGCATTATCCAATACACCAACAAGCGACGGTGCTCCGTTTGCGTCAGTGGAAGGTGAAGAACAAGCTGGTTTACTGTAATTGTGGTGGGCATTAACCTCCAATATTGCTTTTTGTAGACGTCGTTGTTCATCCATACGTCTTTTTAGAACGGTAAAACAACTGCTGCATTTATGTCTTCTAATCTTTTTAAGTGGTTTTGATGGGAAGCTTCCACAAAGCATTCCTTTTAATCTTTCGTGAAGTGTAACACCATCCGCGATTTCTTTTGATTTCTTTTTCCGAGTTGATGTTTCAGTTGTGGATTTGTCATTGGTAAGTGCATCAATATCAGGGTCTAAAATGTCATGAAAATATAAAAGTGAATATGACTTTCATAGATCAGTAAAATCAATAATTGTCTAAATGGATAAATATTATTTACGTTTAATAAGAGATACAAAGAATCCCGCTCAAATTAACTTTTTAATGATATGAGTCATATTGACAGATTGATATTTCGAAAAAAGTAAAAATAAGAAAACTATTCATTTATTTCATCAAAGAGCAAAGATAACTAATATAAAAATAACAAAGATTTACAACAAAATAACTTTTCCCTCGTATACAATGATAAACAATATTATCACTAATGGAAAAAATAAATTTCTTAAAATTATGAATAGGAAAATGCTTTTACTTGTGGGTACATAAATAGTAAAACTATACAATAAATTCGTCAGTATTAAATGTTTAAATCAAGAACACAAAGTATAATTGATTAAATCACCACGTTATGTAATGAATAAATATATTTGCACTGGATAAAACTTTCACTTACGGACACTTAAGCAGTATTAAACAGTACATATAAACTCTTGAAATTAAACACAATGAATAATAATAAAATAACAAGTAATGTACTGAATAAAAATATACAAAGATACTGAGTCGGTTAGCAAAATGTCAATAAAACACACTACACACTATTGTCGAATTTTAATGCAGAGGAGGGGGGTCTCGGTGGCAGAGTGTTCCATGTACATATACTGTATCATATGCCTGACATTGAGATTTTTGGAGCTCGCATCCTGCAAAAAGGCAGGTCCGTACGACTCCCAATCTTAATTGTCTACGATTGTTGTAGTTCTCGATATAGCAAATATTGTTGAAAATGGCATTAAACACACACAAATTATCAATCAATCAATCCATGTGAAGGGTGATGGCTTGAACGACGTAGTCATGGAGGGTAAGATCACTTTGAAAAAATCATTGATTCAGTATTACAGTCTGTTGTTTATGTTTCTGGGCTTCCTCAACGCCAGTTGTTAAGTTCCTCCAGCTACTTGTATCTTGTTGGCTTCTGTGGTGGCTTTGATCTTCTGAGGCCTTTCTATAAGGTTGTCGATTTTGGGTACGTATGGTTGTCAACTTGACGTGCCTCTTTATATTGCTGTACCATACCTCTTAGTGATTGTTGATGCATGGTTCCTCATTACTGAATTCGATCACATCGATGGCGGTTGTTTCCTTCTAAAGCTACAAAGTACTCGGTGGCATAGTCAGTCGAAGCTATTGTGTCGATGGTAATCTCATCGCTGTTTTCAAGTGTAGTACTACCTCGGGTGAGAAAAGGAATAAAACAGCAGCTTCTCGTGGTTGGGCGAAATTACGGATAGTTTTCTCAAAAAGTCTTTTAAAAATTAAATGAGATGCTAGTTGCTAGTACTAATTTTCTTCAACAAAGTATTAAATTGTTAAAATATATACCCGCTTTTTTTCTTATAAAAATAAAAAATATCTGTCAAGCTGATATATATTTTTATTTTGGATTATTATAACATGAACAGTGTTAACAGAATTTTTATACTGAATCCCATTTTTTTGTTTGAAATGAATCTATTTATTAGTTGACATTTATTGTAAAATTTTAAAATTAGTATGAAAATTATATTAAACACTGATGATTTCACATCAAGGAAGTTTTCAATTAATCTGTCAACCTATTATAAAATCACAGTATTGAAGCTCAGAAACATTATAAAATGCTAAGATAGAGTGCAAAGCATTTAACAATGGTCCATACATGAAATGACTGCTGTTATATATATATTTTTACAAACACATTACATTATAATAAAAAAAAAAACAATTTAAAACAATTATGGTCGTTTATTATAAAATAGTTTTTTTCAAAAGTAACACAATTACAATTCATTGAAAAACCAAGTCATAATGAACAAGCATTCTGAGAGTATTGCATGGCAATACATAGTCCCCTACCGGGTAAAAATTCATTATACTGGAACAAAATGCTAACTTGTTATATAACTTGCCATGGTGTAAACAAAAAGTATATATCATGTCAATATCTTCAAGCATGACTAAAAACAGTGTGGAAAACTGATTATATGAGTGAATTTTTCAAGTCCAAGGACCATAACTCTGCACAAAATTATTAGACCGAAACAAAAGTTGGAACTTGATCTGTAACTTGTCATGATAAAACTATATACCAATTATCAATCAATATCGTATAAGCATGATGAAAAAAACATTAGATATGATTAATAGTTCTCTAAAATTAGATATGATATATTATACAGTGTATATCTATTTTCAAATTATAATCAAATATAATAAAAAAAAAATTCTTTCATTTGTCACAAACTAATATATATTTTTGTAACTTATCTATAAAATGTCAACAACTTTTATCTACACAATGTAATGTATTGAAATATATACATAATAAACATAGATTATTATCTAATTAAAGGATTTCTTTTCATATTTTTTTTTGATATATATAGCATTCAGAAAATTAGTTTATACTAAATAACTAACAAACCTGCCAAAAAATTCTTCAAATAATTGAACAAAGCATGTCTTAAAAAATTAGTTATCTCCCTTTGTACAGAAATATGGTTTAACATAGTACTCTAACATTAGATATGGTCCAGAGTTATGGTCCATAACTCTGGATTAAATCTTAATTAAAATTTTAACTTGATCTATAACTTGTCATGATAAAACTATATACCAAATATCTTCAAGAACGAAGAAAAAAAGTGTGGAAAGCTGATTTGCCGGACTGACAGAAGGACAGACAGACGGACAGACAGACAGACGGACGGAGTGCAAACCTAAAGTCCCCTTCGACTTCGTCGGTAGGGGATTAAAAATGATGCAAATAACAATAACTGTACTAACTAAAACAAATAGAAATTTACATGGTGAGTAATAGTGACAAACATGCAGTATCTTGTCAAAATAACAGTAACCAAGCAGCTTTAATCCTCCAAAATTTGAATGCGAACTGTATGAACTGCAACATATAATGTCAATATGCACACGGTGAATTTAATCTGTCTTTTATCTCAGGAGGAATTGTATGACTATATCATATTAAGAAAAATAAAGTTTTGACATACATATGTATCGCCTGCATGTTATTTTGATAATTTACATTAAAGACAACTTCACATGTAAATCATACGTAACTTCAAAGTCAAAGGACCATGGTCGATTGGAGACCAAACAACTGTCAAAAGCTTTGTTCTATCCTCGTCGAAGAAAGGTACACCTTGCCTAACTGGACCGTCTATATCGAGAGTTCCTAAACTTTCAAGAAAAAGCTCTGTCATAAGATATGCTACCATTCTCTATTCTATTATGATAATTCAAATTAATCATTGACATACCAATGCGGATTCTTCTTAAACTAATTTAATCAAAAATGTAAATAAATTTTTGATACTACAGACGCCACTGATTGCATTCTGAAGGGAATACGATACAGTTTTGATCCCATGATGAATCTTTTTTCACCTAAGCAATTCAAATATGTAATAAAAAATATACCTTCATAAGCTACTTTAAGAGATAAAAGGGGTCGAAATTTAAGACATTCACTCAACATTTCGGTTTGTTGGACATTTGTATCCTTCGAATAGACACACTTAACTTTTTTGTTTCAACAGATAAGCACAAGCGGATTTTGTAAACACATAATGAAAATCTTCTTTACATATATATACTATTAATATGTACAACAATTCTATGGAAATAATTGATTAATAATAAAGTTTCAGGATTTTAGGAAAAACGGCATTTTTCAAGTTACATCAGTTTAAATCATAAAAACAGTCGAAAAATGCATCTTTTCCCGTTATGTCACAGTTTGACGTCGCGAAAATAACATTATTCGTTAGCGACGTCATGACCTCCCCTGTTACTGTATCGTATGCCCTTAAGTCTTCCTGCATTGTCTTAGTTGCTCACAAAAGTCGCAGGCTCGACAAAAATGAAAAGTTACGTCTATGGTCTGAAAAGTTTCAGAATAATATGCTTATGAACATAAACACATCAAATATTTTAAAAACCATTAATCTATATAATATAAGTACTTCAATATCTGTGCATCTGTACATTTTGCATCCAAAAAAAATTATCTAAAAAGATTTTTTTTTTAAATCATTTATTTTACAGACACTCAAAGAAAGAAAAAACAGAGAATGACAGGAATACTGTGGAAAGATACCAGTGATCTTGTTAAAATCGGATTTGATATAAAGATCAAGTTAATGGTAAAACAGTTATCATTTCGTTGCAATGCTTTAAATTTTCATTGAGTAGAAAATTTTGCCTTTGCAGCCATTCTTTTTCATGTTCAAGGTCAAACGATTCTTTCGTAAGACTTATTATACATTTTTCTGCATTTTTCAAAATTTTAATTTTTGGTATTGACTCTTTTCCAGCAGAATATCCTGGAAGAGAACGCATCAATCCAGTGAAAAAGTCGGACATTTCTCGCCTACGTCCACGTTCCAAATCGTTATGGACTTCACTTCTACTAGGTTTCTTATTCGTATCTGTTGGTTTTGGCTTACGTCGACGTTCCAAACCGTTATGGACATTATTTCTACTTGGTTTCTTATTCGTTTCTGTTGGTTCGAGTGTCTTTTTCGTTTTTTGCTGAATCAATTTTTCCAAATTTTGTCTTTGCTGAATCAATTCTTTCAAATCTTTCCTTTGTTGACTTCGTTTACTATTGGTCCAGGTCCAATTTTCCCTAGATCCAGAACTCTGTCCTACAGATTGTAGTGCTTGATTTTCTATAACTTGTGAATTCTGAAGGTTTGTAAGTGACTCATTAACGACTGTTGGAATACCAAATGGGAAGCGAGGTTCCCAGACATAAACTTCTTTTGAATTAGTTTGAAGTGATAAGCATGATGGTTTATTGTAATTGTGGTGTTCATTCACCTCTTGTATTGCCTTTCGTTGTTGTTCTTCTTCAATTTGTTTTTTAAGTATGGTAAAACACTTGCTGCATTTATGTCTCTTATAATTGTAAAGTACTTTTGATGGTGTTGATCTTTCTTGAAGTGCCGCATCATCTCTGATTTCTGTACACTCTATTTCCTGAGATGTTTCATTTATGTAGTCTTCAATGGTAATTACATCAATATCCGGGTCTAAAATGTCATGAAAATATAGAAAAGAATGACTGGTATTCACTTGTCATTGGTCATTTTTATTGTTTGGTTGCTGTTTAATTGTAGTATACCCAACATTTCCTTGCATTTATACCTTAACTCAAAGAGCAATCTGACGTAATTTGTAAGATTAACCAAGTCAGCGAGACATGCCATCTGTTAATTCATTATTTGACACCAGCATTGATTAATTACTTTTTATGATGTTCATGTGAGATTTGTAATCTGATTCAAATACATGTGCTAGTAGGATATAACTATGAAAATTAAAAAGTTGAACTGTGAGTTTTTGCCCACCAATTATCCCCCCGCTATATGTATACAAAAGTTGATAAGTGAAGCATGTACAAATGCTTCATACGGTGTACTACATGTTATATGAACACATGATGTTGATTCCTAATTTCAGAAAGACTTGACACAAAGTTCCTGAGCAAAATGCGATGAAAATTTCATATATTGCTTCTATGAAAATACATCACTATTCGATAAACTGGAAGCTTGTGGGTGATAAATCTACAATTACATCACAAAATAACTAATGCTCACATGAAGCTTGATACCTAAATTCTAGAAGCTCTGATATTTGTAGGGAAAAAATGTTAAACTTACCATCTTCACGTCCGCTGCTGATTTGTTTTGAATGAACGATCTTACAACTAAACTGGTTGTATTCACATAAATGTAAATGTTCCGCTGCAAATGGAAAAGAAGATAACTTGAAAATATCCTTTCTTATAATATGGTTACACATGACTCTCGTATATTTAAATAAATGGGGAATGCGTCCACAAAAACGTGAGTATACGTTTTATAACACTTGGTAGAGGCAAACTAAAGTTAAAGAACGGAAACGAAAATTTGTAAAGGAACATAATTCTAGAACGTTTAAAATGACGCAACCAAAACTTGAACTTGATCTGCCTTTTGTGGTAATGAGCATTGTGTATAAGTTTCATAACATTTTGTTGAGGCTAACTAAAGTTAGAGAACAGAAACAAACTTTGGGACGTACAGTCGTACGTACGAATGGACTAACGTAAAGACGGACAAGGGTAAAAACTTAATGCCCCCTCTGTTACGGGGCATAAAAAGACAAGGTTCACAAAACGGATCTGGTTAAACCAAACAATTATTTGAGGACTGTCAAAACATGGCATGGAACAAAAGCTTTTGTGCGAAAGATCAATATATGTGGGTGTGTGTGTTTCACTTTCATACACAATTTTGTTAAACCTTTCAAAATCAGTGATGTATGAAAAGTCTATTGTATACGAAACCCGCGTTGGGTGTACTAATTTTTAATCCTGGTATCTATGATAATTTTATAAATACGTAGAACCTTTAGGCAGTTAGGAGCTATATGATAGAAAAAGGTCATAAAAATAATCACCAATTCACCATGTGTCACTTTTTCCTGAGAAAGTTCGAACCTGAATGTAGCTGTATTTTACTTTATCAACGACGAATTTGTAGAAAAAATGTATTATATAGCAGGAAAGAAATAAATGGACCAATCTCGTAATAGTTTTAATCCTTTTTCATTGACTCAATTTTATTTTTTTTTAACTTTTACACATTTCATTTTCCATACAGTGTATTGTGATGCGTTGTTGTTTTTATATTGTTTGCAAGAGTTGATTAAGAAACATTGTGGTGAGTAGATGTTTAATATGCATGGTTGGATGACAGACAAATCTGTGAATCATGAAGGTAGTACTTTTTTGTTTAATTTCTCACTGACAATGTGCTTACGAAGCTACAATGATAAGAGCAATATGCAAGTGCTTTATTTTGAAACCACTTCTCTGTACCAATTCAGTCCAATATTTTAATTATATCCATGACCTAGCGACAATGATCTTAACACCTATAGAAATTTTCGTCACATCATATGCATGGTCACATCCAATTCAATGAACGATTCTGCAGCGAAGACGAACGAAATGCCATCACAAACAGAACATACACGGGTTAAAAAAACTCATCAAAGATACCAGGTAACAATTATAGTCTTTGTGGATGAGGTAGAATGTGATCTCATATTTTTATGTGTTTCGCTAGTTTATAGGTTGCACTTTGTAAATACAGCTGTTTCTCAAACCACGCCTCTTTTGGGGAGATATTTAATATTCATAGATATGTTAATTTGTTAATGTACTGGTTCCCATTTATGATCTCGGTGTTTCATCTCATAGAGACATCACTTGGAAATGTAACCAGTATAGAAAAACATGGTAGCGCCTAAATTTTAATTCTTAGGAAGTCCAAATATGAAGGTAAGGGTAGTATAGAATTTTAGTATAAGTTTAAACTCTTAGAAGTTCAGGGCATATAAATGTTGAAAATATGCCGCACAGCCCTTTATTTTGACCTTTGAATAAAATAGTAGTGTATATAAACTTTCCGTTCTGGGATATTATTTTTCACGAAACTTCATAGTAAAAGTGTCACAGTTTTAGCCGCAAAGGGAGTTCCTATGGGAAATTGCATTGTCTATATTTACAGAATTGCAACCTATATAGGGTTAAAAAATAGAACATACAGAATTTCACAATATCTGGTTTATCTCAGAGATTTTAAAGAATTTAACTCAAATATGAAGTTTTATAAATATTTCATGAAGATTGAGAAAATCCTGAGCCTTAACTATGATGACTCAGCATAAATTCACAATTTACAGTATGCATGGTTTACTTAAAGCCCTGAATTCAAAATAAATTCATAATATATGCCTGTTTGTGATTTAAATTATTTAGAAGTACTTATATTTACTCTTCGCAGTCATTGCAACTCATTGATCCTTCCTAATAATTTTGTTGGGTTATTTTTGTCCTGTCGATAACCAAAAAGTAAGCTGTAACACCTAAATGTGTTTTTTTGTGACCACGGCATTCAAAAGTACAAGCTAGAATTACAAAAGACCTCAATAAAACTTACAATAGTGTGTTCTATCCTAAATATATACTAAATACTCCACATTGCTAGAAACAGGGAAAATATTTAGGAAATGTGAGGCCCCAGGGGGCAAAAAACAGAAAAAAAATGCCTACCCTGGGTCATAAAACAGATAATTTAACTTGTAAATGCTATGATTTTATTATTTTCAAGGTCTTTTCTAAACAAAACAATAACTGTGCTGGAAAGTTATGCAAAAATAAGATGTAAGCAGTCTTTTCTATCAAACTTTTAGTGAATTTATGCACCAGACTGATATCTTCTTAAATACAATTTTGCAAATATGGCTTTGTTTAGACACTTCTAGTTCATACATTAACTAACTTATGTTAGTTATATGGTTAGAGATGATACTGTTGTGACAAGAATTCTTAACTGACCATTTGAGACAGAAATTGTGAACTTTCATTGACAAATAGGCATACAGTAAGATGTGGACTGGAGACACAGGCAGGATTGGATACTTTGTATAAACTTGAATGTTGGAATGATTAACTACTAAACAATACATTTATAGTATTCTAAAATGCTTTCAATTTGTTATCAGAATAGTTTCAAACATGTTTTAGACATTTCATGTCAGAAAACATGCACATAGGGTAAGCTGGCATTGATTAAAGTCTTGTTTTCAAATTCTTTAAAAAACTGAAACAGGGGTAGGGGTATAAAATGTACTGTAAAAGGAAACTTAGAGTATATGCAGTGATTTCCAAAAGGCTATAATTCTGATAAATAAGTATTGTTGTGAGAAAAAGTGTTTTTAGAAGGTTTTCTATTTGAATAAATGTTTGTATAGGTTGCACTTTGTAAATACAGCTGTTTCTCAAACCACGCCTCTTTTGGGGAGATATTTAATATTCATAGATATGTTAATTTGTTAATGTACTGGTTCCCATTTATGATCTCGGTGTTTCATCTCATAGAGACATCACTTGGAAATGTAACCAGTATAGAAAAACATGGTAGCGCCTAAATTTTAATTCTTAGGAAGTCCAAATATGAAGGTAAGGGTAGTATAGAATTTTAGTATAAGTTTAAACTCTTAGAAGTTCAGGGCATATAAATGTTGAAAATATGCCGCACAGCCCTATATTTTGACCTTTGAATAAAATAGTAGTGTATATAAACTTTCCGTTCTGGGATATTATTTTTCACGAAACTTCATAGTAAAAGTGTCATAGTTTTAGCCGCAAAGGGAGTTCCTATGGGAAATTGCATTGTCTATATTTACAGAATTGCAACCTTATATCACTAAGATATGATACACATACGACATACGTCTGTTTCTCCTGTTTTTCTGATTCTGATCATTTTCATTTTTATATTATATAGGTCTCATTACTTTAGCATAAACTTTTTTATGATCCACATAAACGTTAGAAAAACCTGCTGGAAGTACATGTACCTGTTAAAATCATTCTTTATTACAGACGAAGTGCGCGTCTGGCGTACACAATTTTAATCGTGGTATCTGTGTTGAGTTTAGTTTCCTGAATTTATGATTTACACTTCCTTGAAGAATATAGTGCACTAACAATTACTTATAATAAATATGAATCGGCTATTTCATTCTTGAAATTTTCTAAAGCTGCATTTTGCGTCTGGTTTTGAAGCCTATATGATTACACCTTACACTCATTATTAATAGTATTATAAACATAATACTGTTGATATAATAAATAAAATCTAAGAGAAAAAGGACCTAAATACAAAAATTTCACGTTGATCAATGAACCATGAGTACGAGATTCAGAAATCAGATGAACTCGTTTGGGTGAGAGGGACATACACCATTACAATAATTATTATATATTTGAAATATAGTTGACATAAACTCATCATAGATACCGGGATGACTAAATTTGTGTACGCCAGACGCGTGTTTCATCTACAAGATTATCTAGCAGTGATACTTGAATCAACAAATATAAAGGTCAAATACAGTACGAAGGTGAAGAGTATTGAGGACCCCAACTTCTGAAAAATGGTTTGTCAAATACAGTTAAAAATTACTTGTAACATCTGAGTTTAGACTACTATAGTCTAGATCTGAGAAACGACCATGTTACGCAAAATTTAACTTGATCACTAAATCATTAAATAAAAACACGCGTTTCTGAATGAAAGTAGAAAAAGATGGATCTCAAGTCAATATAAACCGATGAATGCTTGAATTCAAAATACCATTCAATAACAAAAGTGCCATAAAATTGTCAACAGTGATAAAATAAAGGGTAATAACTTTTGACAAACAATGTTAATCCTCCAGGATTGGTCCAAAAATATATGTTGGCAGACAATTTTAAATAGTTCAAAGATAAAAAAATAAACTTATAATTGATTTATCACGATTAAATTTCACTAGTTGTATGTTTCATTTAGAATAACATTTTATTGATAACCCTCCTTGAAAATAATAAATACAAAGTACATGGTTACTTGATTGTTGCATGCGTATATCCAGTTGCATATCAAGGTTGAGAAGAATTTAACAATGTAAATGGTAGGCAGGTTTGAACAGGATGAACGGTAAAAATTTTAGGCTGCCACAGAAAAACAAGTGTGCTAGATAGGACCGAAATTACAGACCCCTCCTGCAGTTGGTGAAAGGGTACATTAATGTGCAGCGTGTAGCACTAGCCGTACATGAAGCTTTTTTATTTAACTGGTTTCTGTTATATTTGAAAAAAGTAAAATAACAAATATACCGAATTCAATATTCAAAACGGAAAGTCCCT